ATAGAGAGAGGCTCTTCAGAATTGACGTGGCAACTCTACCGTGTGGTCAGAAACCTCTGACTCTTTGATTTGTGATGTGAATCCTCCGGCCCGAATACTCTGAATAAACCCATCAGTGTTTTGGACATCAAAGCTCCAGCTCTCACCGTGTCTCCTTCCTGAGTCGGTGACTCCATGCATTGCTACACAGAAGTTTCCTCCACACTCTGGAGATCTGGAATATAGAGTTTGTTAGAAATGTAGGCTTTAGTTTTTGAGATTCCTCGTCGTGATTTAACAGTGATATCTGCAAGTACTCATCCACTAAAAAACATCAGTGTATCCTGTTAATTATACGACATTAATCGGTTTTAAATTGTGTTCAATGCTTTTGTGTTTTTCCCATAGGTTTCTCTCTTTCGATTCTGAGAGACACATTTCTTTGTTCAGAGGTTTTGATAGGCTAAAACATCGAACTACACCCATAATCCTGGATGTTTTAGCCGCAATGCATGTTGGGATATGGTGTTTATGTGATATGAAATCGGAAAACATTTAAAAAAAAAAAATAATACTTTATTCCGAGTGTTCTTGCTTTTCTCTTTGGAAGTCATCACATAACGGCCGTGTAATACACGGTTCGGCTGCATTAAATATTACACAAATACCAGGTTAACCTCTGAATTGTAGTGGAGTAGAACAAAGTAGTACATGCTGCTGTAACAAAAACATTTCCCAACTTGAGATCAATAAAGTGTCTTATCTTATCTTATCTTATCTTAAGATGATCGATGGCTACTGCCATATTTGCTAAATTTGCCTCTGAACCTTGACAAGTGCATGTTTCAGGCTTATCAATGAACAACAGGAGGGGTCACAGACATAAGACCAGCTGTTAAATAAAGCTCTTCTGACCTTAGCTGTCATGTGGGTATATTAATGCTGCCCTTTATGGACACAAGCAATTTTCACCCATTTATTAATTATATGTTTTAAATGTGATAACACCACTGTGTTTCGTATCCCCTAAACCTCCAGGGTGTACACAGTTTAATACTGGCATCTTCTAATTATGGGAAATACGAAAACGTCTTTTAAAACTACAATTCCCAGTAGAGACGTGCCATAGAACATGTTGCGAAACACACAATAGCCAGCATGTGTAGTTCTGGGGGGGGGGCTGGGCTGGACCCATCCAAGTCCAGTTTTGGATAGTCTGCCGTGGTTCCATTCCATTTCAAAGAGCTGTTGACGCTCGGCGTAACCTTGTCGCACTGCCACTCAAACATCCAATCACAGGGCTTGAGGACTAATCACGGGGTTTGTAAAGCAAGGCGGATGTTGTAGTCCCAAACGATAGCTGGGGATTCTGGGTAGTGTAGTGTCTTCGGAAACTCTGTAGTGTCTAAACTCCGAAAAAACTATTTGTTTCTCTGAATCGAAGGTTAAAAACACAAAAGCATTGTACACAATTTAAACCAATCAATATTGTGTAATTAACAAGGATACACTGATGTGTTTTAGTGGATGAGTAATGCAGATATCACTGTGTAATCATTTGACAGTGAGGGGAATACTTCCGGTTTTATTATGAAAACTTCGAGACCGGAAAAACTGTTTTCACCCACGCTAACTTTACATGGAAGCTGCCGCATATACACGTTCTCCTGGCGAGACCTCAAATCATCTTCTTAATATCTATCAAACTATAGATCCTACACATCCACTGGACGTGGATTATAAAAGTACAATATACACTTCTCGCTAGAAATGTTATAAAAAAGCATTTTAATGGCCAAACTATTCCACAATTTAGGATTTTCCAGAGAGGGTTATTTGTGAATAAACGACCCTCCGAAGCGTTTGCTATCAACGGGAGCATGTTGTTTCTTACACGACCACTAGAGGTGCTACACTTTAAACCGTGACTCTGGGTCGTATCTAGCTGCTGAACAATCGACCTATATGGTCGATTTTTGTAGGAGGACAGGCTGGATCATTTTGTTCATTGGTTTGTTAAACATATATTACTTCATTTGAAAAACTCCTTGGAAAAATCTGTTTTATAAAAATGTTGTTTTTTTTCATGCATGAAATGAAAATATCTTTAGTTTGTTGTAATTCGAACGAAGGAGTTAATAAATCACACACTGAGGGAACATCACTATATTGTAATTATTTAGGCTTTTTCGATCAAACTTTTTCGGGGTCGGTCAGGGGGTACTTGGCTGAGAAAATGTTTCAAAGGGGGTACATTACTGAAAGAAGTTTGAGAAGCACTGCTCGAAAGTGAGTGACTTGTATTTCTAGCAAGACCAGAGACTGTCCTGAACATTTTGATATGTAACACATGGGGTGCCATGTTATAACAAGAACATTTCAAATGTGATTTAAGGAGATATCTAAAAATCGAGAAAACACCCTTAGACTCCAGAGGGTTAAATGGCTGGTTGCACTTATTGTAAGCTAAATGAAATGTAACGTAAAGGGAAATATCTGTTTGTGTGTGTGTGTGCAGGTTCTGGGACTTCAGTATGAACCCTCCTCTTCTGGAAACTGTGGAGCATCACTCAGAGTTTGTGTGTGGACTGGACTTTAATCTGCATATCCCCAACCAGGTAACACAAGTCTTGCAATATTTACATTTCCCCCCCATTTGATTTCCAGATACTTACATCCAAGGGTGTAACTTTGGTTTGAGAAGTGGGGGGGACACAAAACAGGGGGTCCTCCGCAATGAAATATTTTCTCAATTTAATTCCATTTCCTGCCTTTCTACAAATATATTAGGGACTATAGTGTTAACAAATCCAAGAAAAATGTGTAGTGTATATAATGAGTGTGCACACTTATCTAGTATCCTATCCATGTGAACCTGTTTTATTTGTGATTACCTGACATCCTCTAGGGGGGTCCGGGGGCATGCACCCCGGGAAGATTTGTTTCTTTAAATTGAAGTTGAATGCATCAATCTGGTGCACTTTGAGGGCAACATTAAGAGATTTATGGATACAGCTCTCAACACTCATATGAAACAGAACTGTATATATTTCAATAATCAAAAAGCCATTAGAATATGCTCACAACCAATAACAAATCATTGATAAACTCCTCTCTCCTATCTTTATCTTACCTAGTCTGCATTTTTTCTTTTTATTTATGCATATTTGACTAATCACTCCCCTTTCAAACTGTGTTTTTTATTTTTGTACTGACCTATAGTACACATTGGAAGGATTTCTTAACTTATTTTATATACAACTATATATTACATAGATGGAAATATTTGTTTACATCGATGACCAAACCGTTTGAGACCCACTGAGATAACTAGACTAAAGTTTACAACCTAATCACTCCGAGAGTCCTTTACCTCCCTGAGCTGACGTTATCTCTCTCAGTCCGACAGGAGAGGACTCTCCCTCTCCTTATTGTTGAAACAGCTTCTAATCTCCGTTAGCTCCGAGCTAGCACCAGATGCTAACAACAACCCACGTAACTCTCTCAGTCTCTCTCTCTCTCTCTCTCTGTGTCTCTCTCTCTCTGTCTCTCTCTCTCTGTGTCTCTCTCTCTCTGTCTCTCTCTCTCTGTCTCTCTCTCTCTCTATTTGTCTCTCTCTCTCTCTCAGTCACTCAAAGTCCGACAGGAAAGAGCTCTCCCTCTCCTTATTGTTGAAACAGCTACTAATCTCCATTAGCTCCGAGCTAGCACCAAATGCTAACAACAACCCCCGTAACTCTCTATGTCTCTCTGTCTCTCTCTCTTTCTATCTCTCTCTCACAAGATGCGCTCGTGCCACACACACACAGACGCTCCTCCGTGACGATGACCGCTTGCGTAAAATTTTTTAAAAAAAGAAAAAAAATTAAAAAGTGGGGGGGACACAAATGGGATTTTGAAAAGTGGGGGGGACATGTCCCCCCTGTCCCCAGTGGAAATTACGCCCATGCTTACATCTTGGAAACCAAACACACTCTGCGTCCACATCTGTTTATCCATCTGTGTTTGAGTGTGTGCTGTTTGTCCTGAAATGGTGCCATCCATCAGTGTGTGTGTGCACATTAGCTTAACCCACACACAGTAACACACAGTCACACACACTAAGCTGTGTGTGGACATGTGTTGGGTAGATTTGTCGTGAATTGAAAAGGCCACTCGTGTCTAATTCAGTTTTTCGGCTCATTTGAACAGACGCTATGTCTCTCTCTCAACGTGCGTGGGGAAAATGTTGCGAAAAATATACTTGGTTGGACTTTACGATTGGGAAATAAGTTTTAGAATTAGCAGCAGTAGTTAGCAGGCTTTGTTAGGTTATTACTCAGTCTGTTTACTCTCTATTTCCCCTAATATTAGTCCCTTACAAATACTCACTAAAGCACCAAATGTGGATTAGTACACAGCTGAAAATAGTCCCCAACAAAAAGTCACTAAAGCACCAAATGTGGATTAGTACGCCACAGAAAATAGTCACTCACAAAACTCAATAAAGCACAAGATGTGGATTAATCCGCCGCTGAAAATACTCCCTGACAAATACTCACTACGCACCACATAGGGATTAATCTACTGTTGCAAAAAGCAGGAGAGGACTCTTTAAAGTAGAGACACTACATACTGATATACACCTGAACATCAGCAGGAGAGGACTCTTTAAAGTAGAGACACTACATACTGATATACACCTGAACATCAGAGGAAAATGTGATGGAAATTAAATCAAGCAGAGATAAGTGCGTGGGAAAAAAAGACTTTTGGTTCGACGTCGTGATTGGAAATTAGTTTTAAAATCAGCTGCTGGCTTTGCAAGTTTATCACAGTCTGTTTACTCTCTATTTCCCCCTAATTACTGATTGATAATGAATAATTCATTAATCTGATATATTCTGTTTACCTATTAGACTTTTCTGTATCAAGGACACTGTATTCCCATATCTTAGGATCATTGGGAAATGATTCAGGTTGTTCAGGTTTTACGACTTTATCACTCCTACCTTACTGCGTCATTTTGAAACTCTTCCAGCCTTTTTAATGTCATGTAGAGTATCTTCATCTGACCCTGATCTGAAGAAGCTCTGCATGTTTTACTCCATTAAACTTAAGCGGTGCGTACACCCCGCTCACCATTTCACAGAACGTACCATTAGTTTTGAGATTGATTTCTTCCCCTCGGGGTAGTCATCAGATTCAGTTCATGTCAGCAACACTTTGGAAATCCACTTTCAGGTGAGACAGGTTACAAAAAACTCTTCCATGAGACTCTAACACCCAATAAGTGGAGCGTCTGCCAGACAGAAACTTTAATTTCGCGGATTAATCCGCCGCTGAAAATAGTCCCCATCAAATAATCCCCGTTTAATAGTTCCCGTCAAATAGTGCTCGTCAAATAGTTCCCGCCAAATAGTCCCCGTCAAATAGTTCCCGTCAAATAGTCCCCGTCAAATAGTCCCCGTCTAATAGTCCCCGTCTAATAGTCCCCGTCAAATAGTCCCCGTCTAATAGTCCCCGTCTAATAGTCCCCGTCAAATAGTCCCGTCTAATAGTCCCCGTCTAATAGTCCCCGTCTAATAGTCCCCGTCTAATAGTCCCCGTCAAATAGTCCCCGTCTAATAGTCCCCGTCTAATAGTCCCCGTCTAATAGTCCCCGTCTAATAGTCGCCGTCTAATAGTCCCCGTCTAATAGTCCCCGTCAAATAGTCGCCGTCAAATAGTCCCCGTCTAATAGTCCCCGTCTAATAGTCGCCGTCTAATAGTCCCCGTCTAATAGTCCCCGTCAAATAGTCCCCGTCAAATAGTCCCCGTCTAATAGTCCCCGTCTAATAGTCCCCGTCTAATAGTCCCCGTCAAATAGTCGCCGTCAAATAGTCCCCGTCTAATAGTCCCCGTCTAATAGTCGCCGTCTAATAGTCCCCGTCTAATAGTCCCCGTCAAATAGTCCCCGTCAAATAGTCCCCGTCTAATAGTCGCCGTCTAATAGTCCCCGTCTAATAGTCCCCGTCTAATAGTCCCCGTCAAATAGTCCCCGTCTAATAGTCCCCGTCAAATAGTCCCCGTCAAATAGTCCCCGTCTAATAGTCCCCGTCTAATAGTCCCCGTCTAATAGTCGCCGTCTAATAGTCCCCGTCTAATAGTCCCCGTCAAATAGTCCCCGTCAAATAGTCCCCGTCTAATAGTCACAATTGGACCAAACATGGATTCATCCGCCGCTGAAAATAGTCCCCATCAAATAATCCCCGTTTAATAGTTCCCGTCAAATAGTGCTCGTCAAATAGTTCCCGCCAAATAGTCCCCGTCAAATAGTTCCCGTCAAATAGTCCCCGTCAAATAGTCCCCGTCTAATAGTCCCCGTCTAATAGTCCCCGTCTAATAGTCCCCGTCAAATAGTCCCCGTCTAATAGTCCCCGTCTAATAGTCCCCGTCAAATAGTCCCCGTCTAATAGTCCCCGTCTAATAGTCCCCGTCAAATAGTCCCCGTCTAATAGTCCCCGTCTAATAGTCCCCGTCAAATAGTCCCGTCTAATAGTCCCCGTCTAATAGTCCCCGTCTAATAGTCCCCGTCAAATAGTCCCCGTCAAATAGTCCCCGTCTAATAGTCCCCGTCTAATAGTCCCCGTCAAATAGTCCCCGTCTAATAGTCCCCGTCTAATAGTCCCCGTCAAATAGTCCCGTCTAATAGTCCCCGTCTAATAGTCCCCGTCTAATAGTCCCCGTCAAATAGTCCCCGTCAAATAGTCCCCGTCTAATAGTCCCCGTCTAATAGTCCCCGTCAAATAGTCCCCGTCTAATAGTCCCCGTCTAATAGTCCCCGTCAAATAGTCCCCGTCTAATAGTCCCCGTCAAATAGTCCCCGTCTAATAGTCCCCGTCTAATAGTCCCCGTCTAATAGTCCCCGTCTAATAGTCCCCGTCTAATAGTCCCCGTCTAATAGTCACAATTGGACCAAATATGGATTAATTCTCAGCTGAAAAAAGTCCTCAACAAATCCACACATTTCTGCATTTCTGTTTGATGATAACTTGTGATTAAGGATTTACTGAGCATGTTTTAAACACAAATCTATATATTTGTGTTTTTTTAAGTTTTGAGTGGGCTTGGATCCGAGAGCCACGGACAGGAAGTCAGAAAATATGGCGTCAAATTGTTGGTTTTCCTTTTTTTGTGCGAGTTGTTTTGACGCCAACCTTCCTGCGTCACTTCACCCCTTCCCTCTACGCCTTTATCTCCACAACATGGACCTTTTCATCGTGCGTTTTCACAGGAAACCAATAATTGCTTGCTGGAAAAACAGAGTAGGGACTTTTTCCATGCTCGGATAATGACGAGGTGGAAGTGCGTACACGATAAACCGGGATTGAACCCACAACGTCACAATCAACGTCAGTCAGTTTCCCACAGCAACCAATCACAGCGCTCACACACACACACAGTTTGACTCATTATGTGTGTGTCTATAGCAGAGATAATGAGCTGTGTGTGTGTGTGTGTGTGTGTGTGTGTGTGTGTGTGTGTGTGTGTGTGTGTGTGTGTGTGTGTGTGTGTGTGTGTGTGTGTGTGTGTGTGTGTGTGTGTGTGTGTGTGTGTGTGTGTGTGTGTGTGTGTGTGTGTGTGTGTGTGTGTGTGT